GACGCAACGCTAGGTAGTGGTTAGAAGACCAGAGACGAAGTGGGGCGACTTCACGTCGGCGGGCAACCTGCTGTGGCGACGACAATGTTCCAGTGAGCCACGGTGCTAAGGAAGCAGCAGAGGTAGCGGGTGAGCATCAGTGACTCACCAAGGACCTGGTCGAGGCGATGGTTCAGCTAGAGATGCCCCGAGCAAGGCTGGCCACGTACACGCGGTGAGCTCAGCGACGAGCCACGGCGGACACAACCACGTCAGCAGTGTCAGGACAACGGTCGGGGTACGACTTAGGTGCGCATGGCGAGGAGGGGTTCGAGGCGATTCTTGCGGTGCAGTTAATTTGGCTCGAGGTGGTCAGACAAGAGCTACCCTCGGTGATGGGCGGACTCGGCTTTATTGGCATGGTGGTGGGGAAAAGTTCCAAAATTGAAGCTCGACCGGGCACTATTCAAGGTGGGGTGGGGGTGGGTAGCTAGGCAGCTATGTGATGAAGCTAGCGATGCAATGAATCGGGCGATGGCGACTCCTCCCTGCTTGTTTTTAATGGTGCGGCTCAGTCCACCAAGGCCGCAGCGAAGAGAGAGGGGAGGGGGTAGGTCAGAGCTCAGCTCATCCTTGCCTAGGCGGGACACGAGCGACGCGATCAGGACACCCACGCGCATGCGCTATGGACAAGGCATGCGCGCGTCTGACTGGCGTGGCCCTCGTGTCCACAGTGTCTTAAATGACAAGGCGATGGTGGCTCGGCCACATGCGCGCGGTAGTGGCGGCCTTGAACTAGGCCGACAGCTCGCTATGGTCGGCAGTGCGGTGAGGCAACAGTGGACGGACGCGACAGTGAGGTGATAGCTGCGCAGCGTGGCCGTGGTGGCACCAATGTCGGTAGCGCGAGGCAGGGCAGCAATGCGTGGGGCCAGCGGCTCGCTATGGTCGGCCTCGGCCAAGCCCAGGTGGCCCAACCGACCCAGCGTGGCGGCATGGGGTGATCGCGCAGGTGTAAGGTCGAGATGGCTACTAGAGGGGGTGAATAGTCATTTCTAAATTCTAATCGCGCCGGCTAACCAAAACAAATGCAGAATTAAAACAATCGGTCTCGCCAAGATTACACCCCTCTATCTATGTTCTCTAACACCTTACAAGGATCCTAATTAAGTAACTAAGGTGCCGGGCTAGCTAGAGCTCACCTAATCAATTCTAGAAGCAAGGTCACATAAACCTATGCCACTAGTACTTTAAGCAACGGGACGCTCCTACACATGCTAGTAAGCAAAAGCACAAAGCCAACTAAGCTCACTAGCAATGCTCAATTATAAGGCAACCAATGCCAAATTAGAGAGTGCAAATACTTAGCTATACAAACTAAGCAATGTGACTAACAAGATTATACAAACCAAATTAGTCACGCAAAGGGAGCTACTTCTATGCTACACAAGTAAGAAGGTAACTAGTGAGCTACACAAGCAACCTAATTACAAGAGCAACTACATAAGCACAAAGTATATGAAAGTAAATACAAGCTTATGTAAGGGGATAGCAAACCAATGGAAAGAACAATGTTGACACGGTGATTTTCTCCCGAGGTTCACGTGCTTGCCAACACGCTACGTCATCGTTGTGTCGACCGCTCACTTGGTAGTTCAGCGGCTAATTGGCATCACCCACCATGCTCGCACGTCGGGCACCATAAGAACCTACCCCGAAAGTGAGGGTAGCTCAATGACACGCTCAACTAGAGTTGCTCTTCGCGGCTTCCGCAGGGCAAGCACAATGCCCCTCACAAAGCTCTTCTCCGGAGCACCGCACAAGCTTCTTGCGGGCTTCGACGGAGACCACCACCAAGCCGTCTAGGAGGTGGCAACCTCCAAGAGTAACAAGCACCACCGGTTTGCAACTCGATCACCTAGTGCCACTCGATGCAACCTAACGATACAATCACACTAGAATTGCTCACTCACACAATCGAATTATCACTATCAAGCTAGAGTGAGATGGAGGGCTTCCAAGCACTACCACATAAGCCACCAAGGATCTAGTGTGCTCAGCTACCAGTCCAAGACTGAGACCCCTTTCTATTTATAGCCCTCACAAAAATAAAGCCGTTGTACCCCTTCACTGGGCACAGCTCGGGGCGACCGGACGCGCCGGTCGCGTGATGCACGCCACGTGTCCCCTACTTCAAAAGCAAATCATCCGATCTCAATGGTCATCGGTACATTTAAGTTGTGACCGGACGCTCTACATTGTAGGACCAGACATAGGACCCCAACGTCCGGTCACTTCCAGTAAGGTTCCAGAGGTGGAAATTCGTGACCGGACGCGTCCGGTCATGACCGACCGGACTCACCCAACGTCCGGTCACTCACCGTCTCCTCTGTGTGCCGCCACATCAGCACGACCGGATGCTGAACAGTGTTCAGCTAAAGTCCGATCGCCTACGTCCGGTCAAGAGATTGAGGGCGGCCTTCACTGCGCACCACTGACCGAACGCTGGGTCAGAGTCCGGTCACTGCGTGACCAGCGTCCGGTGCACTATGTGAAACCCTGTCTTTTCTGTATACGGCGCCGGTGGCATAATCGGACTATTCGCATTCTACGGGAGGACACTCCACCGGTGAAGTTTCGAACCCTTACTCTCAAGTGCTAAACACAATGTGTGTCACCTTTTGCCTCTGTTTCTTCACCGAGTTGATCCACATCAACTTCAACTTTTTCTCCTTTGTAAATGTGCCAACACCACCATGTGTATGTGTGTTAGCTTTTCACAAATATTTTCCAAAGGATTAGCCACTCAACTTATCACGCCACTCGATCCTAGCGACGATGCAAAGTTAGATCACTCGAGTGGCACTAGATGTCCGATATGCAAATAAGTTTGCCCCTCTTGATAGTACGGTCATCTATCCTAAACCTGGTCATAAACTTCTCTACATACCTATGACCGATGAAATAAAATGCCCTAGGTTATACCTTTTCCTTGCGCATTCCATTCCATCTCCTCTAATGTCGATGCAACACATGCACCAACATGATCAACAATGACATGATCCACTTCATATCATCACGTGATCATATTGGTTCCTCGATCTTGACTTCACTTGCTTTTCATCGTTGCCTTCGTCCATCGGCGCTAAGTCTTGCTCAAGCTTCACCGTCACGCGGTCAATCGCTCCAAAGCCTTCAACTTGCCATTCACGCTTGCAACCGGTCCATCAAGCCAAGTCATGTCTTGATCTTCTCCACTTTGATCACATGACTCAATGTCATGTCTCATGTGCAATGAGCTCCTTCATCATCACATGTGTGAGCTTTGCAACATCTCCGAGCCATTTTCACCTCCATGGCATATGTTGCTCACACACATGTACCTGTGGACTAATCACCTGTGTATCTCACATAAACACAATTAATCCACCTAGGTTATCACTCAATTACCAAAACCACACAGGGACCTTTCAGCGGGAAGCGGTCATGTGCGCGGCGCGGGGTGGCTGTGCGGTGACCGCGCGCACGACACCAACCATCCCGAGACTGTAACGTGCACGAATTTTAAAGCGTCTATAAAAACTAAACGATTGCTTCAGGAGCGAAACCATCTTCATCATGCTCAAGATGACATATGAGACTACCAAATCGAGCTATAACACTACACCACCCCTTAACCCAATCTCTCAAAATAATTTGCTAAACATAGCAATATCTAGCTGTTGACAAACTTGGAAATTTTCTAAGTTTTTGAGCTGAACTTGATTTCAATTTATAATTTCTAGGCTAGTATAAATATTAGCTAGTAATATCATTTTTCGACAGCAAGTATTTCACTGTTATCTACAAAGTTTGTACTTTAAACTTTATTTAAGTATCACACACATGTTTTATAGTATTTTTGTTTAATAAAAATTGGTTTTCAACCCTACTTGATATACATGAGCTATTGAATCAACTTTTATTTAGCATTTTTATTGATCATTTTAAGTTACGAGAAATTAATCTACACACTTTATCACATGCATTAACACATAAACATGAAGCTCATGACATGTTTTAGTAAATGATTTAGGGTGCAGCCACTATGCCAGTGTCTACTAGAAGTCAGGAGTCGATTGGAATGACGTTGGTCAGTGGATATGGCTGAACGATGAATGAGTTTCATATGCCACTATTTTTTTTTGCGAAAGTCATGCCACTATTTACTAGAATGGATTTAAGAGCCCTAATTTATGTGCTTCTGCTGGAGAATATGAAAAAAACCCTCAAGTGTAGGAAGAGCCTTCAAATAAAAAGTGAGGGCCTGATTTGAGAACTTATGTTGGAGTTCCTCTAAGCTCTATTTATTTTTTTAGTGTGAAAAACAAACTTAAGCTGAAAGATTGTGATGGGAACCGGGGGCACAAGCTATTGATGGTACTCCCTCCATTCTAAATTATAGATATTCTAATTTTTTTAGATAGTTAAAACATCTCAAGTTTGATCAAAATTATAGAGAGAATTATAAAGATTTATGACATTAAATAGTATATTATAAAAATATAATTAATGAAGAATCTAATAATACTTATTTAATATCATAAAATGTTATGATTTTATTATATAATAAATTTAGTGAGATGTTTTGACTCTAAAAATATTAGAATGACTTATCATTCGAGACAGATGGACTAATAATCATGCAATAAGGTGCCTGTTTGTTTCGCCTAGAGATCAAGCTACGTTGCACGATAAACCTGAAGAAATACTTACCATAAGATTTGCTAAAATACATGAAATTGAAATCTTAATCAAATGTTTGGGCTGAATTATACGCCTTCGAAATTCCTAGAGCCCAAAAATAAAGAATAGGCCGAAAGAATATACTCACGTCGCAAACATGCCGTCCCGTCCCGCACACGCGACCCACCACCGGCAGCGACGATGCCACCAGCCCACCACCGCCGCCCATCCAATCCAACAACAGCCGCGGCAGCAGCAGAGAGACAGGGAGGGACAGGACACCGCCCCGCCCGAAGCTACGAGCCGCGGCACCTGCAAGCACGGGCGCGCGGCCGAGAAAAGCGCAGCCCTGCCACGACTCGGCCACCTCGCTCCCTCGTGGTCTCCTCCTCCACTTGCTCCTGCTCCTGCTCCTGCTCCTCCACCCCTCCAAAAGGAAGCCGGTCTCCAATCCCTCTTAGCCCGGCGCACGGCGCACGAAGGGGTTCGATCGGATCGGCGCCGTCGGAGGCGAGATATGGGAGTCGGTGGCGCTGACGCTGGCGGGCACCGCTGGCAATAACATCGGCAAGGTCCTGCAGAAGAAGGGCACCCTCATCCTCCCTCCCCTCTCCCTCAAGCTCAAGGTATTCCCCCCATGACCCATCCCCTTCCGTCGCCAAACTCCTTCCGCTCCAGATCGCGCCGCTGAGCCCCTTACGAGTTACGGCGTTCCTGTCCGTGCGCGCAGGTGGTCAAGGCGTACGCGTCTAACCAGCTCTGGATCAGCGGTTTCCTTATGGACATGTGCGGTGCCGCGCTCATGCTCACCGCGCTCTCCCAGGCACCGATGCGTTGCCTCTTGCCTCTTATCCCTGTGCATTCTGTGCGTGGTGATTGGATCGCTTACCGTCCTTGCTGACGGTGGTGCAGGTCTCCGTTGTTCAGCCCATTGCCGGTTGCGGTCTCGCAATACTCTGCGTTTTCTCCCATTTTTACCTCAAGGAGGTTATGAACGGCCTCGATTGGATTGCCATCACGCTAGCTGGTCTCGGCACCATAGGTAACAGATATCCACAAATCTGAACCTTTGTGATTTGTAGTAGAGATGGAAGTCAGACATGCCTATAGGCTTCATTGTTTCACGAAGATTTCATTGACCTTTTATATAGGCTTTAAGGAACCATGATGATTTCATTGGCTGGTGTTCAATGTTCATGCATTTGGTTGATTCTGTGTTCTCTTACTTCAGGTGTAGCTGTTGGAGGTGAGGAACAGAAAGTTGACCAGATACCTCTTTTAAATATACCCTGGCTAGTGCTCTCCATTGTCATCTTGTTTGTAGGTACCATACTCTGTGCTGCATAAATTCTAGTATTACATGACATTCACTTAATATGCTTTCTACCAAAAGAAGTTTATTCTGTGCTATGTATTTAGCTAGGTCTTTCTGCTTCAGTTTTCATGTCTTTCTAACAAGAGTTATCAGTTAGATGTGCATTCCTAGATTGTGGTATGCCTCCTGCAAGTTCGGGGGGAAAAATTGTGCTATGCCAATAGTTCTTGTAATCCGTAAATAACTTACCAATTAGCATAGTCCATTCCCATCTCAGGTACTGCTTAACACTTGGCTTCATATGTATAAAAAGCAAAGGCGCGAGCAAGAGTTGGTGAGTATTTATAACTCTATATAAGCCTGTTTGTGTATTGCATGTCTTGACATAGTGCCATCCCATGCAGACTGGACCCGAAGTGATCGAGGAGATCATATATGGCTTAGAATCTGGCATTTTGTTTGGGTAATTTACTACTGTTGATGCTGTTTTATGATTCTATAAACTACAGCCTTTTGTCGCCTTAGGATGTGACTAAATTGAGGGTTTCTCATTCATCACTTTGTTACTGCTATTTATTAGTAAGGAGATCATATGACTAACAACATCACTACATGTATAGGATTTCTTCAGTGATCTCTAAGATGGGATTTGTGCTGTCCGAGATGGGTTTTCCGAAGATTGTTGTGCCTGCTGCCATTTCTTGTAGTGTTTGCTGCAGTGCAGTGGGATTTGTATATCAGGTATGTCTAGTTTTCTGGAGATTTGCCAACTGGGTTTGTGTGATTTACCGTAGCTTCCACAGAATGTATGCTATGCATCTTTTGTGTTTCTAGAAGATATGCAGCCATTGTTTTTTCTCTTGTACCAATTAGCGAATTGTGTGCCCACAACTTGAAAAGCAGGGTGCCGAGAAGCCAAAACCTCAGGGGGATGTAATTGTGAAGTGGGGCACTGGGGCTGCATAGTGGGTGGAGAGACGAAAGTTGAAATTGAAAACAAAAAAATATAATTCGTAAACAGTATGACCGACAGAATATAACCATTATGGCTGTAACCATTTGTTGAAAATAGTATGATCAGGGCCTGGTGCAAGCGGTAGAGTCTTACCGCCTGTGACCGGAAGGTCCCGGGTTCGAGTCGCGGTCTCCTCGCATTGCACACGTAAGGGTAAGGCTTGCCACCGACACCCTTCCCCAGACCCCGCACAGAGCGGGAGCTCTCTGCACTGGGTATGCCCAGGTTTTGAGTCATTTTGTGAGACTGTATTTTTCACCGGCGAAAATTATGGGTTGCTTTTATGCATAAATTGAAACTCTGCAAATTTTAGTTGCTTGTCTCATTGCAGATATTGTACTGATTGTTATTTCTATTATAAACTGCACTAGTTTATTTGACCTGTTTTTTTTAAACATTCGTATATTTAAGATGAACCACAAGGACTGGCCCAATAGTTTTCTTGCAATGTCCTGATTTCATGTGTATTCTCCTTTAATGATTCTTTTATCCATGCAGACTCGAGGCCTCAAGCATCGGAGGGCAATTGTTGTATCTACATGTACGTCGGTGGCATCTATAGTGTCTGGTGTTGTAGCTGGCATGATTGCACTTGATAAACATCTGCCTAAAGCTCCCACAGCTCGATTTTTCCTCTTACTTGGATGGTAATACTTTTATGCTACATTGTATTCTCCTGTACTGCACTGCTTCATTTGGTTCTGTTCTCATTGGCTTTAATCATCTACTGCAATCTGCATTATGCTATATGATTTCCCCGTTCTTGCTAGGATTCAATTGTTTCATGTGATGACCATGCAATAGATATGCCCACAACATTGCCAGTTGCTAGGTGGGTTATCTTGGAATTGATGAGTTCAGCTGTCCCTGTTACATATATGTTTACTAATAATCATATGATGATATTGCTACCCTGTTAAGATTACTGATAGCCAAACTATTGTCTTGTTAAGGACATTGCAAAATATTAAAACAGTGATGTCGGCGCAGTACTGAAGGCATACCTCTCTTGTTGGAATATTCTCTTTCAACAAAGGGCTGGAGAATCTAAGAAATTAGCTAAATCTTGCAGGTTCTTCATCATCACAGGAGTGATACTGCTTGTTAGTTCAACCCGATTGATTGCACGTCTACCTAGGCCTGTGCAGAAGTTTTTGAAGAGCAACATAGAGCGCACCCACAGCGTCAGGAGGCCTGGTTCAGCGCGAGGGAAGGACGCCATCCCGACAACAACAATCCATACGTCGTCACTACACTTGCTTACTTCTCCAACAAAGGAGAAGGCCTAGAAAGTTGTTGGCACTAGGGCAACTTTGTTTCGGCACCTCACGTTTGTCATGTCATTGTTTGATTATATCGGTTTCTCTTTCATGAACGTAGAGTCTAGAGTAGCATCTTAAAAGCTTGGGTTGGTTACTCACCATACTGCCCTTTATAGGTCTAACAGAAACTTGGAAAAAAAATTGCTGAGAGTTTTTATCAGGTCTCGTCTTTTGTTTGGTTGCTGAGTGCAAAATCCGGAGCTGGTATCGCGCAGTGCTACCTCATTGATCACAGGTTGGGAAATGTTACCCAGTGTCATTGATTGGTGGCATGATTTCTTTGTCAAATCAGTTCCATTAGATTTGGCAATTTTTGCCAAAAATAGAAAATGCAGCAGTAAGCCAGTAATCCTCCATTTTTCAACAGCTCGTACTTGTTGGGTTGTGCAGAAAGGGGTGCAGGGAAACCAGTGGGGAATTCTTCAAAAAAAAAAAAAAAGTGGGGATCTCCAGGTTTTAAGGATTCTGTCCCTTTTCCCCAAAAAATAAATCTAAAAGGTTTGCTGATTTATAAATATTGCGGTACAGAAGCTGAGCCTAGGTGAGTGTGAGTCTGGCCTAAAACCAGAGGCAGCAGGCAGGCCATGAACTAGAGGCCAGGTTGTTGCCCATGTGTGCGCCTGCTTTTCTGAGGTTGTTGTCCATGTGTGCACAATAACACAATCTGTATGAGCATTTGATGTTCTGTCTAACCATTTCAATGCAAACCTTTCACGGTTCATGTGAGCGTTGGTCGATTTCATGGTGTCCTTAATTTTTGTCACAGAAGTTCTATTCCACACCCCTTCATTCTTCCTCATTTTGACTTTTCAGGCTTCAACCACAGATCCAAAAAAAAAAGTCCTCGCATATCTACTGTGTTGTAATTCTATAAAAAAAAAGATACACGTCTTTAATCTATACAAAAAAAGGTACCCATCCAAGTCCTAAATCATCAATTAAAAATAGGAACAAGTGGATCAGTATAAACTTAATGTTTGACCTCATTGTGTCTCCATTATCCATGCTGCCAAACAAAGTGGCCAATGGCAAGCGGGTCCAAATCAGAATGTGTTACAAGTGTGTGAGGAATTTCGGATCAGTCCGAAGAACATGCTTTGTAGAGATAATAAGGTGAGTACCTTGCAGATGCTTCCTTCTTGTTTCCCTCGTGACATAAGCTACAAGCACTATCTGAAACAGCCCGGTCCTATCACGATTAAAATGGCATTTCCTGTGTTGGGTTAGGTATATGCTAGTACAATAGATATGGTTTTGTTTGTCCAGACAATTTTTGTTTTTAAAATCTATCTAGTTCAGCTGGGTCGTCCACAAATGAACGCCTGTCGCCTGTTATTACGTGGTATATACAACAAGTACGTACCCGTCGCCTTGGTCAGCAGCATCTAGAACGTTTGAACCATCCGCGAATCAGGGCAGCTCCAACAAACGTTTGAACCATCCGCGAACCAGGGCAGCTCCAACCATCCATTTTTAAGATAGCTCTAAGTATTTTTTTTATATTTTAATAGAAGAAAGAAAAATTAAGCTTTTACATACGTTTTAAGGTTACGTGAGAGTATCACATGAGGCTATCCATGTTAAAAGCTACATACTAAAAAATAGTATTATTGGATAAGTTGACTTAGAGTTAGTAACTAGCTCTAACTATTGCAGGTGCCCTAAGACAATAAAGGATTTTGGATTTGGACTTTGCCTTACGCAGCTTGTATTGTTCGGGATTTGGGCTTTTGCCTCACGCAGCTTGTATAGTTCGTCTTTAGGGCGCCAAACCTTCTTTGCATACAGGTGTAACGATGTGACTATACAGAAGTATCTCACTCTACAAGTTTACATACAAGACAAATCTCATTCATGGGAATTGCCTGTCTCCTATCCTATCTGACACGTTGTTTCCAGCTAGCATTATTTTGCCATCTTTATGCTATCTTGGAAGTTTACAGAGTTACGTTTATTCTACCAATCGTAACTGCTAAGAGTGCGATGGAAACACTATGAAGTACGAACTCACATTTTCCTAGTGGACAAAGCACTTGGTGTTGACAAAAAGTTCTCAATCAATGGCAAATTTTCAAAAGAAGAAAAAAGTTCTCAATGGCAAAAGTTCTTGTTGGCAAAAACTTCTATTATAAGCTTGTTACATCTACTTATTAGATTATCTCGTATTAAAACAAGTCGATTGGGTGCTCAAGGATCATAAGGTACGATTTCTTGACCATGAATCTTTGGCTACCGGTGCTGTAGTCTGACACCATCGAAAACAAAGAAAAGTGTCAAATGCTAATGATTTGCAGCAGGTTGCAGTTGTCATGATAAACTGATAGCAGCAATATATCATGATAAAAGAGAGATTTTTTATGAAAGCAAGGGTATATAGAATAAGAAGCGGTTAAGTCCAAAAGATAGTGTTTTGGTGTATATAGTTTTTAAAAGGGGAAAAACGTGTTCATCTTTTATGGTAAAACCAGGGTTAAGAATTCACAAATTCTGATAATTTCAAGGGTGGCCGATAGAAAAATCCAAAGATTAATACTGTGATTTATTGTAAATATATAACTTTAGACTCATAATTTCAAGGGTTGCCAAGCAAAATTTTCCTTACTCTGGCTTCATGCTTAAGCTAAACTTGAGAGGTTATGTGTTTTCTTCACTAGTGAACACTTGCAAAAAATTTATTTACTTGACCAAACTTTGATGGTAACCACAAATCTAAGACCTTTCTGTTTAATTTAATCAAATACTATAGGTTGGTGGTCAAAGTTTAATCATTGGCCGAGTGCCCAATATCCGTTAATTGAGCAAGCAATCTAGTACTCCCTCCATTTTTTACATGTCATATTAACTTTGTCCCAAATCAAATATTTGTATCTTTAATCATCCATTTCAAAAAAATTATATAGGTTCATGACATTTTATATATTTTTAATTCACTATGCGAGATACTTTTATAATATATAATTTATATATTGTGAAACTATAAAGATTTTTTAATTTTAAAATTGATGATTAAAGATAGTAATGTTTGACTTAGGATAAACCTAATATGACGTGCAAAAAAATCGAAGGGGTAGTATGTTTCTACTTTATATTCTTTCTATTTTAAATTGCAGGCCATCTTGATTTGTCTAGATACATAATTTTGATTATGCACCTAAACATTATCTCCTTTTCAAATTGCATGTTATTTTGATTTTTCTAGATATATAATTTTAGTTATGCAGCTAGATAGCTAAAATGGCTTACAATCTAGAATGAGAGAGTATTTATACATGAAATAATTGAGAGGAAACGATATATGAAGGCACTCCCAATACAGAAACTACCATAGTTTCTATGGACATTAATTGTACTGCCACTTAAGCGTTTTACTGATGTGGCAAGATAGTTATTGGAGAGAGAGAGCAAAAATCATAGAAACTGGGTCTAAGTTAGAAACAATGTCTAAACGAGAACCAAGATATGAAGGGATGTGATTAGTAGAAAACGGAGAGAGAATGTATATGATTGGATAAAAAATTATTCTGTAGAAACTATCCATTAGGACCATAATTTTTATACGTAGTGCCTATAAAAATTAATAGGTATAGAAATTACATATAATTTCTAGCATCGGGCAGTCCCGATGCCAAGTTTCATACTAGCAAAAAAAGAGTCTGCCACCTCATCGGCCAGTCAGGATAACATAGTACGGTACTCCATTGTATGCACCCAGGTCTGCCACCTCATTGGAGCAGTTTTGGTCCCTCCAGCAATAACACTCGAGGAACAGTCACCATGGTCGATAGCGACATGGAAGGCGACTAAATGGAGGGACCAAAACGCAAAAACAGCCGAACCGCATAGATGGACATCGAAAGGCCAAACTGCTCCAGTATCCTCTTTTTTTTTTTCTCTCCCTTATTTTACTCCTTCTCTTGCTTCGCCTAGTTGCTTTGCTTCGTCTACTTCTCAACATCCCCCGAAAAACCGAGGATTGGACTCACTCCACCACCGGAAGCGTGCGTACGCACGGACCGCCCGCCTGCCCCCGCACGGCCATGGCAGCCGCCGCCTCCCCCTCATCCTCGCCCCTATCCACAAACCCTAGGTAGCACGGGAGTGCCCCGCCGCCAGATCCCCGAGACCCCGCACAGCCCCGCCGATCTTTGGTCCGCAACTAGATTTCTGGGTGTGAAAGAGCGCGTTTTTTTTAACAGTTGTTAGCTAGGGAGATTTTGGGAAGGGAGAGTGCTGGAATAATGGAGCCGAGGGTTGGGAACAAGTTCCGGCTTGGGCGCAAGATCGGGAGCGGCTCTTTCGGGGAGATCTACCTCGGTGCGTACTCGCTGCTCGCCTGCTCGTGCTCTAGAGATTTTTTGTTTGTTTGTTTGTTCCGTGCTATCTTTCCGCTGCTGCTGATGAGATGGCTCCTTCTCTGTCGCTTGTGGATGCAGGCACCAATATCCAGACGAACGAGGAGGTTGCGATTAAGCTGGTCCGTGCTCTCTGGCTTCGGGATTGCCAGCAAATGTTTGTTACATTCTACTAGTTTTGGATGTTTTAGCTTCCACCTGTGTAGTACAGCTTGTTAGTGCATCTTATCTTGGTGACCACTGTTGGGTACTGCAGCATGTAATTGCTGTTAGTCGAGGTGGTTTGGGACTTCGGGTGCTTTAATTTGTAGCTATATTCAGTGTTCTTCTAGCCGTCCAGTACCAACTCCAGCTCTATGGGTTTGCTCTGGATTCTGGTTCTGCTTGCATTAGCCCCTATTGTTCTCAACAGATGGATCGGTCATAGTAGTATGTTGGCTCTCCTTGCTTGACCACGCTTGTGGTTGACTTGGTAGGCCTTGAATGATTTATGCATCTATGGTCACTCTATAATATTGGGAGGTCTAATTGTGACGAGATGGACCTCTTGGACTATTCTCTGATGTGTTTTGATTGACTGGTAGATAAATGAACCAAGAGATGACCAGGAAAGGATAGTTGGCCCTTCAGTTTTTGGAGGATGAACTCTAGAAAGAGACTGCATTCCTGATGCATGCAATGTAGAGTTGCTTGTAGTAGCTTAGTGCTTTCATGAACTGTTTACTGCATAAATGCTTGGCCATTCAGCTTGGTCACTGGTATCAGCTTATGAGCTCGGCTTTTGATTGCCCTTTTTTTGTATTCACAGGAAAATGTGAAGACAAAGCATCCTCAGTTGCTGTATGAATCAAAGATTTATAGGATTCTGCAAGGAGGAAGTATGGAAGCTTTTGACTGTTCATATGTTCTTTGGGATGTAAGAATACGTTTTAGGGCAGGTGGGACTGACAATCTTTGTTCTGACAGCTGGGATACCGAATGTCAGATGGTTTGGTGTAGAAGGAGACTACAATGTCTTGGTTATGGATTTACTTGGACCAAGCCTTGAGGATCTATTCAATTTCTGCAGCAGGAAATTGTCTCTGAAGACTGTACTTATGCTCGCTGATCAGATGGTATGCATAGTGCCATAATTGAATCCCGTTTCTTCTCAAAGTTTTAGTACATATATTTTTCCATAGTATGAGTCAACTCTCGATATGTGTCTGCTCTCATGGCTATGACCCAGACATTGCTACCCAGTATCCACATTGGCAACATTTGTACACAGGCACACAAATCATCATCAATCATTTTATATAATGTTTCGTACTTTCGTTGTGGCTCCCATATTGAACACTCTCCCTCCCGAGCATCTCTGCTTCTCTGGTTGAATTATTCTGTTTATATACATTATCCTTTTCCACCTATGACAGATGAGTTTTATGTAATCTGCCCTGCCCACTTGTAGATAAATCGAGTGGAATTTGTTCATTCCAAGTCTTTTCTGCATCGAGATATTAAGCCAGATAATTTCCTTATGGGTCTTGGCAGACGAGCTAATCAGGTGGGTGTCAATACCATCTTTAGTATGTGCTTACAATTTCCTTTTTCTGTTTTTGTTGGGTTTATTAACCACTTTATGTTTTGTTCTGTTTTTCATCCAGGTCTACGTTATAGACTTTGGCCTTGCTAAAAAATACAGGGATACCTCAACGCATCAGCACATCCCATACAGGCATAGAATAATCTAAGCATTCCTGAGTTATATATGCTTTGTGTTCTTTCTTGTAGTAAGCATTTTTAGTGTTCTTCTAATTAGCTCAAGTTACTTCCCATTTTTCTCTTGTATCTTTTCTAGGGCCAAGCTGGAAATTCTAAACCTGTCTAACTTTTTGTTAGCACAAATTCTATCTGGCTACTACTATAATGCTTAGTAATTACAATAGACACGTCTCAGTCCTCACATGAGTGTGGAGGGAAGAAAAATAGATTAAATAACTAAAAGATGCCAGTCGTGGCACTAGTTGTATCTTGCAGATATCTTAGTCGTTTTCTTTACCTTTTTTTTCTAGCTATTCACGCATGCAATTTTAACTAGCTTGTAAATGCTGCAGGGAGAACAAAAACTTGACAGGAACTGCAAGATATGCTAGTGTGAACACCCATCTTGGCATTGGTGAGAATTATATATATAGTATTAGTTGAAGTTCTTTTTTTTCCATGATATGCATTACACAATTCTTCAATATATGTTGTAAAGTGCAACTTCGGTAATCCTTGTACTGTTGTATTCTGTATGGTCTGGCTAAAATTTTCTCTTGTTTCAATGCCAGAACAAAGCCGAAGAGATGACTTGGAATCTCTTGGATATGTGCTTATGTACTTCCTGAGGGGCAGGTGAGTTTGATCGGTCATCTGTTCCTTTTGTATGCCTCTCATTTTAGGTTAAAAATATTTTTTCTTTTGCAGCCTTCCTTGGCAAGGTCTTAAAGCAGGAACAAAGAAGCAAAAGTATGAGAAAATTAGCGAGAAGAAAGTTGCAACATCAATTGAGGTATGTCCAGTGCATCTTAGCTGGAATTGGAACTTTTCCCTGGGAAATGTCCTTATGTTGTCGATCTATTTCAGGCTCTATGCCGTGGGTATCCTACTGAGTTTGCATCATATTTCCATTATTGCCGCTCACTGCGGTTTGATGACAAGCCTGACTATTCATACCTCAAGCGATTATTCCGTGACCTTTTCATTCGTGAAGGCCAGTCCCTTTACCTTGCTTTCACTTTTAAGGATATATATCAGTACCCTTTCCAATAGAAAAAAAATGCGCCCATGTTCATTGTTGGAACTCTTTGCAGGTTTTCAGTTTGACTATGTATTTGACTGGACAATACTGAAGTACCAACAATCTCAAATTGCCACTGCTCCACCCCGTGCGGTAGTGAGCCTCTCCAACGCTTCCTCCTTGAGTTACCCACCAAACGTGCACATTTGTGTAACTATCTGCAGGGATAACTTTGATGCCTTACCTTGTTACAGGGCCATGGCGCGGGGCCTTCTGGGTTGGCACCTGCATTACAGAATGACAGGCAATCAGGTAATTTGGTGCACTCCTTCATTTGCCTCATTTGCATTTCAGCATTTGATTGAGTAATTGTCATTGTTTATCTTTCAGGCCCTGAGGAAGCAAGGACTAGTGGTTGGTCATCAATGGATCGGCGTCGTGCCCCACTACCAATTACAAGCGTGGGGACGTTATCTAAGCAGAAAGCACCAGTAGGGAATGATGCCACTGTTTCTAGAGATGCCGTGGTAAGTTAGTTGTCATATTGTCCTTTGTTTATAATGGGAAAAGTGTGCAAGATGGGGCAACTTTTCATGTTGTAGACGTAGTGTAATAAAGCTATTCCATTGCACAATGTACACAAACTGTTCTGGGAATAACACAATGTACACATACTGTTCTGTGATACGAGCAATCCAACTTTTTAGTAGTGTCTCACCTTTTATATTTGAATATCTATTTGTAACATATGAAATTGATACTGTAGATTTATCAGGGACCAGATTTTCATGGTATTATTATACATGGGTTTTATAAACTTTATAATACAAATTAGTGGTCCAAGTGGCATTGTGGAGACAGTTTACGTCACAATGATGTTCTTTTGTGAGCAGAGGGCATATCACGTCAAACATATTGCGGACACCACTACAAAGGCTTTATGTGTTGATAGTTGGGGTCTTTGGGATAATGGGTTGGGGAATTTGGAAGCAACATTCGTGTACACATGACTTAGTTAACATTACAAGATCTTGTCAGTTCTTGCAGTTCTGAAAGTTTGTCAGAAGTTTTGGATAAGTTGTCTTGAACAAGAATGTGGAGATTAGTCAATACCTATATGTGGTTTTGATGCTGTTTTCAATTTCATCGAGTCATGTACAATCTTGATTCATGAATTCATAATTTATTACCTCCATTCTTAAAATAAACAGCAGAAAAGATGCTCAATCTTGGGGCTTAATTTGGTTGATGCTTCTTTTTAGATATCTGGACCAAATTTTCTGGGAAGGTCAAGTGGATCTTCAAGGAGGCCTGTTATTTCGAGTAGCCGTGATGTGGCGGCCACTGATAGTTCTGAGCCTTCACGAGCACGTGCAACTGATGCAAGCCCTGGGGCGTTCCGCAGAGTCTCAGGTCCCCAGAGAAGCTCACCTGTCCATTCTGCAGAACAAAAGCGCTCATCCTCAGGCCGGCATCCATCTAATGTGAAGAACTATGATTCTGCTCTCAAAGGCATTGAAGGTCTTAATTTTGATGGTGACGAGAGGGTTCAGTACTAGAGCTGCAAGAAATTCTATGTCCACTGTAAAAATCATAATCAGGTGGTAAGCATTGTTTTTCCTGTTGAGTTTTGGATCAACAGGAAATAAAATGCTGGACGGAGGGTCTGGTCACTTGATGTGCGGTTTCAGGTGGTCCTCTGAGCAAGGTAAATAAATGGTCCTATCTGAGGCGCCCCAAGCCTAGCTCTCATAATGTTATCGTTATGTATGTAAATTTCATTTATAGTGTGAATGTCAGGCGCCCGGATTCATCAGTCTATTTTATTGTTCAATTCCTTAAGATGCTCCATTTTGAGTTGCTGAATCTTGGGACAACAAAGCTGAAACTGGTAGGACTTTATTTGGAAAACTGGAATCCGAGCATGTAGAATTTTTAAATCGGTTCATTGGACAAATTTGTCTGAATATGTTCCTGACTAGTAATATTATCTGTCAAGACAAATGATGTTTGTCCTGTTCGCTGCTGATAAGCCAGGGCTAAAAGTATTGTTGGCTGATTTGTTGTGAGAGAAAAATATTATTCGTTGGCTGAAAAAGTACGGCCTATAAGCCAAGCGAATAAGGTGGTTATTTGCCCCTGTGATTATCAATTCATCCATCTCTTCAGTTTTCACACCCCTGACAAAATATTATAGCACCAGTGAGCATCCATGTTCCGTTCTAGTGCGATTCTGCAGCTACGTTGATTCACTGCGTTTCTCTATCTCTACCCAATCTTTGGGTAGCGATTCTGTCTAAAAACTATACCTCTATCTCTACCCAATCTTTCTATATCTACATTTATATAAAAAAAACTATACCTCTATCTCTACCCAATCTTTCTATATCTATATAAAGTGAACAACTTTCTTCTTTCTGCCCAATCTTGTCTCTCACTCTCCCCCATCTATAAAGTGAACAACTTTCTTCTTTCTGCCCAATCTTGTCTCTCACTCTCCCCCATCCGCCCCTCAGTCCTCTTCTTTCCCTCAGTCCGTCGTCGCTCTCTCTCTCTCACACCCTTCTTGCTTAGAGTGCTTAGAGTGAGTTATAAAACCGCGTATGTTATGTAATAGTCTGCCCGCCCGAGCTATGGCGCATTGTGTGGTGTGTAATAGTCTTTCATTTTTCTTAAACTCACAACAGGTTAAGATAATAGCCAACTGTTTGACTATTTAAGTTGAGTCAAATTATTTTTAGTTTTTTTATATATGATTAATCCTTTATTGTGAATGGGTGTGTGGCTCGTTTCACTTTTCGTAAAGTCACAACATGTGTACACCTATTTAAATTGAATCAATCTCCTGTCATTTTTTCCCTATGGAATTACTTCTTAACATTCGATGTTTGAAAGAACTTGTGCAAAATAAATAAATAAAAAATCACCCTTTGCTTTGCAAAATTTAGTACATACCTGCATCAAAGCAGAACCGTGTTGATACGGTGAAATGTTTGTGTTCTAACCATGTTGCTGTGCTCTCATGCACAACAGGGGGAAGGGAAGCACTGTGAGTTCGTTTCACCAATCACTAGGGATCGGTGGTTGTGAAAAAATACTGCACAAACTATATCCATAAAGCAAAGGACGGCTGCAACAAGTTGCATTCCAATACAGTGAAAATTTGAAGCAAAAACACGTTTCTGTTTCTTCATGGGTTCAAACCTCAACCGATGTAAATGAATGAAACTCATCTATACAAATTCATCGAATGAAGTGCTTCAGATTCTTCAACAAAACGTAATGATGGCCACACATTAAAATAGTAACATAATTCCTTCATTGTACAAAGTGTATTATTGTAACCACGGTGAACAAAAGTACTGTTGTAACCATATATGATTTTGCCAACACCGTTAATGTTGAAGAACATATACAAATTCTTATACTCTTGTTCACCAGATGAAGTAACAATGAGCGCACACGTACCATGAATGACAATTAAAATGGTTGATCAAAAGGTGATACTTGAAAGCCGATGCCTGCAGTCGAGTAATAACTAAATGCTAGACGAACATACTCCAGGAACGAATTTCATCTTGGTAAGTGTATGCTATGACTCTGGTGCTTTTCCATAGCCCAGCTCTGACATCTCCCAGCTCGTCCGTGGGGCAACCTCCTGGTGTGACCGAGTGTAGTGCTGAGTATAACCAAGACAATTAGAAGCACTGATGTAAGTCAATGAGGCAGACTACAAGTCTAAAGAACTGAGTGTCCGAATTGTATAATAAGCAGATGAGGTCACTTCACCTCCATTTTCTCCAGTAATTCATGGGCAGTTGGCGCTGAAACAATTATATCTCTGCAATCTAGCTTAATAAAACCTTCCATCGCCCCTTTATCAAATAGCATGAGCAACGGGTCGTAGTAACCATCAACATTAAGCAATCCAACCTGCAGTATGACAAGATAAGTTACTTGTTCAGTGCCCATAGGCTACTTGTTTGCAGCCATATACAATAATACTAATACTCACTGGTTTGTCATGAATTCCTAGTTGTGACCATGTTATCATCTCTAACAACTCTTCCATTGTTCCATACCCTCCTGATGTCCAGAAAACCCAGTCATTGTCACGTCAAACAAAATATATGTCACTGTCAGCATGTACTATAGGAGAGAAAAAAAAGATGTAAATTGTGTACCAGGAAGAGCAATGAAGGCGTCAGCTTGTCGCGCCATCTCAGCTTTCCTTTCGTGCATATCAGAGACAACCTTTACTTCTCCAACGCTAGCACCAGATATCTAATTTGAGAAGAAAAAAAAATCGTTGTTCCAAATGATTACACAGAGTACTGAAAGTAGGCCATAGTTTCAGATCTCTCATATCTCCATTCTTCAGATATGGCTAACACTTCACAGGACATGTATAAAAATGATGTCTAGGACTCCGGGTTCACTTTGGAGCAAGTACCTAGAAAGAGTAGCATATTGGTTTTCCTAGTTGCTTTTGCCGCATTCCAAACTCTTCAGTTTTTGAGTTACATATAGAGTTATAGACAATCATTCGAAACCTATGATATACTGCCTAATGGAAAATTTTATGCCTCGCACAGTCGCACTCTTTCCCCGCTCAAGCTGAGATCATGAGATGTCCTATTGGCAAGTTACACATTCTTATAATTATAAACCCATCCAGTGGTAAATATTAAAATTCCAAGTTGTACCGCCCTAAAATCTAAACTGATAGTCTGCAACTGCAATTCACCTCCCCTAAATCCTAGTTCCAATTCCTTAGTGGTCACCTATTCACCTATTGCTAACCCCCAGAAGCAAAGGTGAATCAAATGGTGACTTGGAGAGCACTACTGACATAGCACTACATGAGCTACTACATACTAGAGCAAAATCATGTGAAACCAACATCCAGGGCCAAATTCATGGATAGATTTCAAACGAAACACTTGTAACAGAGTACAAAACCAAACGCGAGCCAGATTCTATTTTTTTAGCTGAGATTTGTTTTGCAGTTAGTTAAATAATCATTCTCTCTTGTGAACCAATTAGCCGCTAGAGCAGAGTAATACTAGTAGAATTAACAATGATCACGTAACAATCGATACTTCTACGCATGCACAAAGAAGAAGAGAACAGACAAAAAGGACAGTTAATATTTAATACACACCTCAAGCGGCATGAGTGCTCTTGGAATCACCCTGCAAACGGATCAAACAGAGCGGCCACACGTTAGATAGATTGCAGAGTTCGAACATGAAGTTTGCCAGTTCTTAAGAACTGAACAGAAGCAGAATTCTCCAGAACGTGCAGGTAAGCAGGTACCCGAGGACACTGCAGCCGCCATCAAGAACCGTCTGCGCGATCAGGCCCATGAGCCCGACGCTGCCGCCGCCGTAGACCAAATCGACCCCCCTCGCCAACTGCAAAGGCGAGAACCCGCGGAATCCCGCCACGGAGCGTGAGCGAGCGAGCAAGCAATCGAGCCAAAGATCAGAAATTTTGAAGCAGCCGGCCGAGCCGCGGGCGCAGCCTTGCCATCGGCGGCGCATTACCAGCTCTTTGCCGAGGTCGAGCGCGGCGTCCCCGTAGACCGCGCGATTGCCGGGGTTGCTGCCGCAGAAGACGCAGATCCTGCCGAACCTGCTCGGCTCCGTCGCGTCCGCCGCGGTGTCGCCCATGGCGGAGGAGCGGAGCGGGCAGTGGCGGCGGGACGGAGGCTAAAGAGAGGTGTTCGGCTTTGGCTTCTTTGTCTTCGAGGAGAGGGGACGGGACGGGGGAGCTTCAAATGAAGGCGGCATCAGGGCTTCTCTCCTGACGCGATCGTGCTGTTTAATAATCGCGTAATCAAGTTGCCGAGTCAACTCCAGTGGCCCCAGATTGCACCACAGGAGCCCATATGTCAGGGTGCTTTTCTTGCAGATTGGCCCCACAATCTGTACCCTCTCAAAATTGAGTCCTTCGGGCTCTGTGTGTTGTGGTGGCGGCATTGCATACGCGTGCACCGTAACCGTCCTTTTCGCAACTAGTTCTTTGCAGTCGATCGCTGTGCAGTTGGCTACTAGCATTAAGCAGAAGATTTCATCGCTCCTTTTCTAGGATGAGAGCCAAGTGCCATACTAATACTATGGTACTTATGATATTAGAGCACCTCCATTGGCCCCTCAATCCCCACTGCTGATGAGAAAGATCTATACTTTGAGAGATTTTTTTTTATCACTATACTTTGAGAGATTTGAGAGGACCAGCAAATTCCTAATCCAACCCACAACGAGAGAGAAAAAACTTGCTCCTTTAAAATCCATCCCACAACCCCTCAAAGATGTAGTGAAGTTCCTCCTATACGAGATATTTTTTGCGAGTTCTAACTGCCGGCGCCAGGGACAAGGATGAGGACGCGGCATCAAGATGGTGGCTGTAGGCATCGGCACCGGGGATAGGGAAGAGGACTTCCGTAATCAAGATGCTCCGGTCGCCTTGCCACATCTCTTACTCGTGTCGTTCGTGTGCCACGGCGGAGCAATGTGAGTCTACACCAATGGCTAGTCATTAGAGTGAGGAGCGCGGTGGGCTACCAGAGGGAGGACGAGATGAGGCCGACGAGCAGCAAGATAGGAAGAGGAGCGATGGCAAAACAGAGACATTGGGTAGAGGAAAGGCGACAGGTGGAGTAGATGCAATACGATGCTCGGAGTCGGGAGAGAAAGAAAGAGGTGGGAGAGAGAAAAATAAAAGAGATGATTATATTGCATGATAAATAGACCCCACATGTCAGATGAGGTATTGAGGTGAGGTTTTCTCATTCTTTTGGAGACTAGGCCTTTCAAATGCCTCAAAAAGATTTGTAGCTCCCCAATAACTAGTTTTGGGCTTGAGATTTTCTCCTACCGCTGGAGGTGCTCGGTATATACTCTTGGTACACTAACAACTGTGTTCAGATGATCGGATCAAATGCGTAGGTGAGCAAGGTCAGACATATTCCATTCTAAGAGTAACTCCAAGAGCCTCTTAATATCCTTTATCATTCGTAGGAATAGAGATTTTAGTAAAAACATGTTCTCCAACGGCTTCTTTATTTAGATCTCCATATATTAACATCAGGCGTGTTTGGGACCGCGGCGTGGTGACCTGCGTTTGTGGTATCGTGACCTCGGCCTCCATCCCTCGGCACGGAAAACACCAGTGCAATTTCAATCTCGCGTAGGTGTGTCTTGCCACGGTAGATCACGAGCCACTTAGCGGGATTTCAGATTTCTCGTTAGCTAAAGATAGAGAACAAAATTGGTTTTCTAAAGCGTTCACAAGATATAAAAAAGTTGTTGAAAGGTAAAAAGATATAGAGACTGATATTACTCAAATGACTCTCCAAAGATGATTTAGAAAGTTTAACAAATACTTTTGGTGATGCTCCAAATTTGCCACCGTAAATTCTCAGCTTCCTCCCTTCAAAAATAAATAAATTCTCAGCTTCCTCACCTGCTTATATCGCGGTCCTATGGGAAAACAAAATCGCAATCACCTTTTTTTTTTTGTGTGAATCGCAATCCCTTTGCTGTTGACCTTACCATCGCAACAGCTCAAACGAGCTTATGTTGTCAGGTAGGACCATAGGAGTGATATAACATCATGGTTTCGTCAGCAGCAGCCACCAAGTCGAACCCCAAGACTCGGACAAGCAGGCAGTACACCGATCCGATGCAGTTCTTCAGCAAACCTGAATACCTGATGCACGCCTGCAGCTGCCTCGAAGCTATGCTGTGCTGACCGCAACAACTCCTAGCAGACTCTCTGCGTGTTTCTCGACCTCTTCTGCCCCTCCCGAGTCCCGACACCGGCAGCTTATCCAAATACTGAAACGTGGTCTAACAGCCTGCTGCACAGGATCTAGCAAACATTCCAAGAATTCATTACCATGTCATCCCAACACTGGTTGATAGATGTTGGCAGGACAGGTCTGGGGCGACGACACCATGCCGGGCGGTCGGCGCCCGACGCAAACGCCACCGGCGCCGGGGAAAGCTCGGCGAACCTGCTGCTGCCGCTGCCCGAGACGACACGTACTGACGCCGACTAGCTTGTTTTTGTATAGTAGTGCAAGAGAGTCTTTCTGGTGTGGAATCGAACTGTGGATAGGGGACGGGCGGCACGGCCGGCAGAAGACTCGCGTCCGATTAAACATACCGCGAATGGCCTGGAGTTAGGGAAGCCACCGGGGCTTTGTTTAGTCCCTTGGGTTCACCGTGGTTGGACAGCCTGTTCGGAAGGCCGTAAACGATCGTGAATTATTTACTGCTGGCTGGTTTGATGTGAGAGAAAAACACTGTTTTGGTTGGAAATTTATGATCATTTACGATCGGCGAACGGGCTGGGAGATGCTGCGAGCACATGGAGCACACTCATCTTCCAAATCCGAACACTTTATGGGATCTAAGTCCAGGTGGTTGTTGGGTAAGAAATTACTCAAGTATCAAAGTTAAAACACAAAGTAAAGTTGTATCCATTTTAATGATCGTACTGTACAGGTTAGAGGGGGTATTTATGGGGTCCTAGCATTCGTAATTTATATAAAATAACTATTTTACCCCTAACTCTAATAGTTACAACCATTTCCAACTAAAAGGGCGAAGTGGTCTTTTTTTCCTTTTGAGTCTTCATTCTTCGACTTTTGCACATTAACTTTATTGATGTCTTCGTTTTCTAGAGTTAGTCGATTTCTGCTTTGATTTTCTTGTTCTCCTAGAATATTAGGCAAAGTCAAACTCTTGTTTTCATCTAATCTTGCTTTCTTCTTTTCTCCAGCGAAGATGAGATCTCTTCAGCAAAGATGAAACCTTTCTGACGAAGTCAAATTTTTGCTTTCGCTTTTCTTCTTTTCCCTGCAAATAAACTTTTGTTATAGAAATCATAATTTCAACTCCAAAATTTCAGGGGCTATTTTTCTCGGCGAAGTTAAATCCCCAACAGTGGTAGATGCCCTCGGTCTCCAAACGCTATGTACAGGCACCATTACAGTATTAACCATGGGAGATCCTCAAGGATTCTGCGGTGGAGCTGCAGACATGTGTCGCCATCTGCCGACACCCAGATAATCTGCACAAGAGGGCGGCCTACAGTCCTAGAGAGAGAGAGGAGAGGGAGGGAGGGCGGCCTACAGTTGCTCAAGGAGTCAAGGTAAACTGATGATAGCAAACTGGGGGTGGATCAAAGAATGCCAGATTATAGTAAATAAATAGGTTCTCATTTCTCTTTCTCTTCCTGCAGCCTGCTTAGTGATTGCAACCACTCTGCAAAATCTCCTTCCCAGATTTCTTACCGTATTTTCTATGACACCCAGCAGACTGGATCCTCTAGCTATGCTTTATAAAAGCATATAAACTCTGGCACGCATCATGCTTTCTGAAGCATAAATTCTGCCACCAGCTGGTTGCAGTTAAACAAGTCAACGATTCACGTTTCGCTGAAATTTGGCTTATGCTGATGCTTATGCTGAAATGTTGTAAGAGAAAAACACCGTTCGTTCGGTGAAAAATACTGCTGAAGTAGTGCCGTAGAAAGGGCATATATTTTTTTAGCTTAAACGTTGGCTCTACGGCCTGATATTACAGATGGCTCAGCTGAATCCCGAGCTACTGCAGCATTTATAAAGTTTGGGAGGGTGTCCGTCTAGACATGCAATTGTCCCGGATAAAGCAATCACTAGTAGAGAAACGACTTTTGATCCACTTCAAAATTTGGCTTTAGTCCCGTATTTTCGTATTCGGGACTAGAAAATACTCGAGCTGATAGTTAAAGACTAAGTGTTCATAATAGAAAGGCCATCGTGCAGCCTTTTTATAGGGGACCTTTAGTTTGAGAGCTCAACCGGGACTAAATGTTAACTTTACTGGCTGGTCCTCTCCTCCGGAGTAAAAGCCAGTTGATCCGAGATTAGAAATGAACCTTTAGGGTTCAGTCTCCAACTCCCAGGACTAAAGAATCCAACGAATACTGGGAGCGACGTTTTGTTCAACCGGGACTAGTACGTAGAGTAGCAGCATACATAGTACGCATCGATAGCTAGCTGATCCGGCTAGTACGTGGGAACTAGCTAGCTAGTACATTTTGTTCACCGTCCGACATGTCCAGACATGTTCACCGCCGGGACATGTCTGCAAGATGCGTATCTCTTTGCTAGCTTGCTGCTACGATAAGGGAAATCAATTAGTCCTTTGGTATTACGAGCCGGGACTAAAGATATACTTTTAGTCCGAATCAAAGTGGTATCTTTTATCCGGGTGTTTATAGGAGCTTGATTGCCACGGCCAAAAGAATAATAACTCGGAATTGTTGGCCAGGCCCACCTATTAGCACCACCGCTTGTTCGAGAAAAGTGAAAGCTAACTTAAAAGCTCAGCTCTCGAACCATGCTCCACGAACTTGAACAGGATTGCTCTATGGGATTGTACCGCTGAGATCCTTGACTAAAGGTCCTTCAGTACTATAGTTTATACAAAATGTTGAACATTATAAACGATGTATATTCTAACGTAGAGAACGTATTCAAAACCAAAACGAATCATCAATTAAAAAAAAAAAAAAAAAGAAAATAGAAATAGAAAAAAAAAAAGAAAACCTTTAGTTTTATTCGGTAGAGCGTGAAAATAGAAAAAAAAGGAAAATAGAAATAGAAAAAAAAAAAAAC